TTTTTTTCAACGTTCACATTTTTCCAAGTATACGGTAATTTTACAACCAAATAGACAGTAAAAACTAACTTCATTGTGATAAAAGATAAAACTACATTACCAAAAAAAAAAAAAAATCACATTTCAACTTCTCCCTTGAATAATGTGCATATCTGAAACTGGCCAGAAGTCACTCAAGCCATGGCAAAGTGCTACTGCATCTTTTCATCATGGTAATTCTAGCAATGTACAGAATGTGCACTTTTGGGGCACTATCTTTAAGAATTATTTCTTGAGTTCCCATGTGTGTGGGGAACAGGAGACTTTCCTCATCTGTCACTTTGAATAAACATTCAATCCAATCTTTATGGGGGGCTGCCCTGAACAGGAGCTGAGCAGGCCCCCTTAGACTTGAGTTTCGGGAGTGTGGAACTGGCATCGCACACAGGACTTGGCTGGGCAAGGGAGTGCAGCTCCGGGATTGGGCGTCACCCAATAAGACTGGGCTGCACCCCACTGTTTGTTGTAACACAACCCCTTGCCTTTTGGGGGTAGAAGATTCTATCAAATGTCTCCCCCTAATAAAAACAGGGGTTCAAGGTGCCCTCGCTCTCTTGCCTCCGTCGCTCCCCTTGCCCTCCAGCGTGGGAGCTGATGCCTGAAGCCGCAGACACATCCCTGACCCCAGAAAAAGGCATTTCTGTGTCTGTGTGGTCTTCTCGTCGCCGGCCCAATTCTCGCGGAGTGATCCTGACTCCATCATCCGCTCTCGGGACGTGGGCCATAAATCTTCATTACTTCTTTCATTCAGAAGTATTTCTTGATATTGGCTGATTGCAGCTTGCCTCCGCCTCCCTGTCACGCAGCCACAGACTCCCCACCAGACCCAGGAGAGAAACACTTCTCCGCTCTGCCTTCACTACGCGCCAGAAACGACTCTCCTGGTCCCCAAAAACCCACAAGTGCCATCTTCTTCCCTTCAGAGGACACGCCCCACTGTAGACACCTGGTTCCTCTCGGTGAAACTCAGGCCAGGGTTTTTGAGGATGGAAATCTCTAGGTCACCGCCAGGAGCTCCCTCCGACCCCTGCACCCTGTGACCCGCTTTGGGCCTAAACCTGGGGTATATGGCCAGAAAAGCTCCCCACTGCAGTCTCTCAACCACTGGCAGAAACCTCTGCACAAGTTCCTGGGGCAGCTTGCAAACAGTGTGTGGGAGCCCAGATGGGCATGAAAGACACTGTCCTCTAATGGCATGAAGGACCTGTCTTTTGTATTAGGGATCTGTGCTCTGATTGCTGATTGCTGCATTTAATCAGAAAGGCTCCAAGAGGTGTCAGTCATCATTGCACCTCCTCCCATTGTTTTAAACCCCTCCCCTCTGGCTGAAGTGGCTTCCAGAAGTCAGCGGACAGCACAGAATGGCATGATCCAGCTTCAGTAGTGGAGCTGGATGACGAGGACCCAGAGCATGTAGGAGAGAAAACTGCTCAACTCATGACCAGATAGCAAAAAAAAAAAAAAGGCAAGAGGTAGGGGCCTGGTCTGTCATCCCTTGGAAGGCATGTTTCCCAATGATAATGAGGACCTAGGCCCCACCTCCTAAAATCCATGCCATTCCCAATAATGTCACCTTGGGGACCAAGTCTTTAGCACATGCATCTTTGGGGGACATTTAGGATCCAAACTAGCACAGTTTGTGTCCCCTGAGTAAACTGCAGCATTTGGAGACTGGTCCAGCCTGCTGCGTATCTTTCTGAGCACCAATGAAGGAAGGAGTCCTGGCCATAGTAACTTTCCAGATTTTCTCCAAGCTGCTCTCCTCTGGTGCTCATGGCCTAGGACCAGCTGCAGGAAAAAAAAAAAAATGCAAAACTTCAGTCCTAAGCAGTGAGTGACTAGCCCAAGACATGCTGCTGTGGGATCCCCTTTCTTCTTCACACCCTCAAAAAGGCTTCTAGGGTGACTTACATTGAGATGATTTTTCTCTCTACCTAACACCAAGTTCTGCATTCATCATCTCTATTCCTGCCCCAGCTAGACTAATCCAGCCATTTTCTACCACTGTCCTTACAGGGCCCTCTGTTCCCTGTGTTGGTGACACCCCTTGTCTCATCCCCCTCCTCTTTCAGGATCTATCTCAGATACAGGTCTCACTGAGGTCCCTTTATACTCTTTCTTCTGTAGCTTTTGAAGCTCTCTTACCCTGTGGTACCCAGTGGTACATTGTCCAAGAGCAGGAATCCAGATTGAATTTACTGAAGCTAACAATAGGGGAAAAGTATAGGCAAGAAGGGGGTAGCTGAAAATAAGGCGATAGAATAAGAAAACCAGTAAAATGCAGGAGCACAGAAGCAAGAGAGAAGTGTGTGTACAGGAAATTGGAGTGGCACTTGTCTTCTATCTGGTCCTACATATGGACTTGAGTACCTATGTTAAGGAACAGAGATGGAAGGTCATGTTGACACTGAAAATGGATTTTATGATGCTCTGGACACAAATGCAGATGCTTCAGTAGCACAACACAAAGAGAATTTTTAGCAGGGAGGCAACATCCCCCCGGCTCTAAATGCAAACGGGTATCAGTGCATTGTTCTGAAGAATTAAGGATTGAAGAGCATCCTGAGTCAGCATCCCCAGGGACACAGATGTTCTCTTGCTGGGCAAGGGAGGAGGAAGATCCTCTAGAGGGCTAAGTGGGCTACAGTTGTGTTCAACAGAGGGAAGATATAGATATAAGAAGAGATAATATTGAAACACACAAACATTAATCAGACACTACAGATAATACTTTAGACGATTGTGTTTATTTAAGTATCAAAATGACCCTACATTGAAAGTGATATTGCATTACATGTACGGGTTGGGTACTCAGGTTCACAGGTCAGCTCTTATGCAGATGAGTCATGTGGCTGACCTCAAGTCATTTAATTCCTCTGGGTCTTAGCTTCATCATCTGTAAAATACAATAATAATATGATTATGTAAAGAGGAATAAAGAGGGTAATAAATGCAAATGGACTCAAATTCCTGGGCCAAAGTGAACCTCCTGCCATATAGCCTGAGTAGGTGGGACTACAGACAAACACATAAGATATTAAGATAGAGAAACTGCCACAGATTGGAAGATACTAAGGAGATAATAGCACTAATTGATGTTAATTTCCTGGTTTCAATAATTGTTCTATAAGATGATAACAGTAGGAGAAACACAATGAAAACTATATAGAAATCCTCCACACTATCTTTTTTTTTAATTTTTTTTTTAATTTTTATTGTTGGTTGTTCAAAACATTACATAGTTCTTGACATATCATATTTCACACTTTGATTCCTTCAGTGAGTCTAAAATTATATCAAAAATTTCAACATTTTAAAAAAGACTTTAAAATTGACACATTATTTCCTAATGCACAGCATCAAGTAGGTGGTAAGAAGTAGAAGAAAGAAGACAATCAGTAAATGAGTTGCATCCTATCCACTGAAAACACAAAAGTCAGTAGTCAGCACTGAGCCATATAGTGCTGCTTCTTTCCCATTAGCTGGGCCACAGAAAATGACACAGTTCAGTCCGGCTCAATGTATCACCACCCATGTTAAGTCAATTCCTTCTCCACTGTTGATTCAAAAGTCAAAGACTTGTAAATAAAAAGTCACATAATGACATTTTGGCCAACAGCAGACTGCACATATGACAATGGTCCCATAAGATTATAATGGAGCTGAAAAATTCCTTTAACCTAGTGACATCTTAGCTGTTCTAATGTTGTAGCACAAATATAGTGATGCTGGTATAAACAAACCTACTGCACTGCCTGTCATATAAAATATAGCACCTACAAAATATACAGTACATATTCTTGATAGTAATAAAAAACTGTTCTTGGTTTATGTATTTATACTGTATTTATATTATTATTATTATTTTAGAGTGTGTAGATCTAACCTATTTAAAAAGTTTATTTTAAAACAATATGCTGTTGTGCTGGTAGCTTAACATTTATCTGGTGTCTACGGAGACACTTGACAACATGCAGAGGCCACATGGAGTAACTGACCTGGAACATCTATGTTTGTGTTAGTGCACCGGGTGATAACAATGAGATCACCACACGATGCATTCTCAGAACATCTTTGTTATCGTTCAAAATAGGACTCTGTGTATGTGTTTTCTTTTGTCTAAGAAAGATGGACAAGGGCCCAATTATGCAATGTGAGAGGCAGGCAAAGGCAACTACAGTAGTACTGGATATCCTGCCAGTTCTCACATAGAGGAAAACTGGTCCAACCTGTTGCAAGGATCCTGACTACTGGGGTCATTCAGCCTAACAACCTCCAATTACCCAACTTTTTGGAACACTTCTGGCAGGAAAGGTGAATGAGAATATTATCTCTCTAGGGAGAATTAACATCATGATGAGTCCTGAGGATTCTCCTGGGATAAGTGAGTCCCCTGGGTTTCCTCAAGAGCAAGGACTCATAATTGCCTTCTACACAGTCCCTCCAAGTGACCAACAAGGGCCACACAGCAACAGACCCTTGGTGTACTAAAGAAATGGAACTGATTTCTTCACAACCAGACCAAGCAAGGCAAGATTTAAGAAGAACCAAAGCAAACATCCCACAGAAGCACTACTCCAGCAGATTATGAGAAGGCCAGCAGGCCTGGGGTTCTGTGTCTTCCAGAAGCTTTTCCACTGTGGTGGGGGCTGGAGGGAGAGCTAGTGAAAGTGAAAAAAAATCCCTGCAGCAGGAAGGATTGAAGGACAGGAAGGCTGAACAATACTGCAACCTAGATGGCCTCAGCTTACCCTTCAAGACCTTGTTGATCCACTGCATTGCAGCTCTCTTCTCTAAGTCAAGGACTTCAGCTGTAACTGGATAACCTAGCTCCAGGGGTGGGGGCAGGATCAGTGGGTCATTTTTCCTGTAGGGCAGCAAAAGAGGGATTTTGCGTTTCTTAGGCCCAGAAAAATTAAGTGATGGTGAGCGAATCTTCAGATTTTCCTGCTTGTCCAAAGGAACCTCTACAGACTTTTCATGCTTGATTTGCTTCTGTGGTACCATTGAGGTTGAAGATCTAGCCTCACGGCCTTCATCACCAGCTTTATTTGCAGGTGCTTGGAAATTCGATGAGACTGAGCTGGGGAATCCAGCTGTGCTTGCACCCTTCCTCTTCTGTGGTAGTTGGAAACCCTGAGTGGAACTGTAGGAACTGGTGATAGCATTGCGCTTCTTGCATGACATTATGGAGGTCTGGGATTTCCTAATCAGGCTGTTTACTGAGCTCTTGTAACAAATATCTCTCTTCAGAGGCCCAGGCCTGGGCACAAAGGAAGAGAGCACTCCGTTGACCCGCAGGCACCTAAATGCTGACTGTCCAGTCTCACTGGCTTCAGATCCCCTTTTCTGATTATCCTGCTTTTCCTGGACTGTGTGGTGGTCCTCCTCCTTCCCAAGTCCTTCCTCTCCCAGGGTGGTCAGGTCTTTCTCTTCCTTGGCTTTTACTTGACTGCTTTCTTCTAGAGGTCCCGTAGGGGTCTTCTTTGCATATGGGATTGAGAAATGGCCAGTCAGTGAGGACCATATAGTCAAGACTGACTGCTCTAGAGCCAAACGAAGCGTGAGTTTACCCTTAGCAGACACCAACTTCATTATCATTGAAGGGCAAGACATTCTGGAGCTGGAAACAGACAGCAATGGTTTCTTCTTTTCAGAAGACGCAGAAGAAAAAATCCTCAAAAACAGACACCGAGCCTGCTGGATTGGGTATCGCTGCCTATGGTGAATGACAAGCTGCCGGCGGTGCTGACGACGGGGTGAAGCCACAAGATCCTCATAGGATAGCTTGTGAGTCAGGTTCAGGGACGGAGCCACTGAGTGAACCCGGAAAACTGAGGGAACACGGCGAGGAAACAGCGAGGCTCCCCGGCGACCAGGTCTAGAAGGACAGTCCTGGTCGCTCAGAGTGGGGGACGGCTGGCCAGGGCTAGCCCGGCTCAGGTAACTGCCCATAAGGGGAACTTCTGCAAGGTCGGGTCCTTCCAATAAAGTCAATGGCTCAGAGAAGTTTCCGTTAGCTGCCGAAGGAGCCCAAAGCAAAGCGCGCACTGTGGGGTGTGTCGCCTGTGACGCCGCGTTGGAACGCGTGAGCGAAGAAAGGGCGCGTGCCAAGTGCACGCACCCAGGGAGCTTGGGGACCCCTTGCTGCTGGTCAAGGGGGTTGGCACCAGGGAGATCTGCTCATCCCAGGGCGTAACCATCCTTCCTGCTGTCAAGTCCCAGCTCCGTCCTGGGGGTTCTGCAGGACTGTGGTCCTGGAGCGGAGAACTGGAACCCAAGGGGTGCCAGGCATCAAGCTCAGCAGCGCCCACTCGCGGTCTGCGCCTTTTCACCTGACTGTCCTTTCCTGGCGTACTAAATGGAGGAACCGCTCAGAACCTCATCTCCGCCAGCCCACGCCAGGCCAGACAATAAATACCCCGGCCGGTGGGGGGCGCCCCCGGCGCAGCTCGGAGCATCTAGGCAGAGTGGGAGGACTGTAAGAAGTTTAAGGGGGTTGCCCCGCATCCTCTACCCTTCCAGGGACTTCATGTACCCAACATCTAAAAGGTTAAACATTTATGAAATATTCGAAAGACTCGTACAATTTTCAGGAGTTTAACTTTAAACGATTTTAATGATATTGACTTCTAGATCTCCCAAATTTTAATCAGCCTGCTGTACTTCAAAGCGCGTCCCCTGCTATTGCCCTTCTCGGACTATCCCCTGAAGACCTTAAAAGAGCATGCTACAGGGATACTGCCACATCGATGTTCATAGCAGCACAATTCAAAATAGCTAGACTGTGGAACCAACCCAGATGCCCTTCAATAGATGAATGGATTAAAAAAATGTGACATTTATACACCATGGAATATTATGCAGCACTAAAAAATGAGAAAATCATAGAATTTGCAGGGAAATGGATGGCA